AAAAGATTTTGTATGTTGATGATTTAATTACTGGATGTGACGCTGAAGATCAACTTAAGTATATACAAAGTTCAGTTTCTCAAGTTTTAAAATCACCAAATTTGTTCAAAGATTCAGATTTAAATACAAAAGATAACTCACTGATAACTTGTTATCAGTGAAGCTGCGGCTATGCTAAATGTTTCTGTCAAAATTTCATTACAAAATAATTATATAACTAAACGGTCTGTTATGTCTGGGTCTTATCGCATTTTTGACCCACTGGGCATTTAAAGCCCTTGTATAATTCAACCTAAAATGTTACTACAAAAGCTGTGGCTTAAAGGTCTTGACTGGGATGAATTCGTACCAGATGAAATTAAAAATGAGTGGCTTAATATTTCTAATACTTTACCTGCAATTTGTGACATACATACACCAAGAAGAGTGCAAGGAGGTGCTCTAAATTCTATAGAGTTGCATTCCTTTAGTGATGCATCACAGTGTGCATATGGTGCTTGTATTTACATGAGATCAATAAGTGAAAATAATTAAGTAAATGTTAGCTTGCTTTGTGCTAAGTCTAAAGTGGCGCCGCTTAAACCCACCACCATACCTCGTTTGGAGCTCTGAACAGCCCTATTAGCTGCTAGGTTCGTCAAAGGTGTCCTTGATTTTTTAGCGCCATTGAGACTATATGTCCTGCAACATATACAGTAGTATTTAGAACGATTCGAACAAATTGTTTTCCATATGAACATATTCCGCATAATCGTCTGGAAATTCGAAATCATCAGAATGGACAGAATCATCGACTTCGTATACGTGTAGAACGGGAATTTCAGCATCTTGTTCTAAAAGTTTTTCAGGAGACTGACTGGTTTTAAATTTAAACGGCTTTTGAATTTTAAATTTTTCTAAAGAAATCATCATAATCAATAATAGCTTCATAATTTGCCCCTCTATTAACGGGCGTACTTAATTTCGTCAAAATGTTGGACTTTAAAGCAGCTGTAAAATGGTGTTACGTTGGGTTATTGTTTGTAGGAAAATGTTGTCGTATCATTCCGAAAAGGTTTTTGAAACAATTTTGATTCAACTGCCAAAGATATAAGATAGAGGAATAAAAGACGAACTGCCTTTTCGACACAAAATACTTCGAAATATCTTCCAACGATGTCAGCGAAGTAACGTATCCCTGGACGCATCTTACGTTCTTCAGTTTCAGAAATCTATCAGATTTGAGGAAATACGTTGTACTCATTTTTTTTTAAATTTCTCCACAATTCAACTTTAGTGAGTTTAGATTTGGTTAGTTTTCTTGGAGACATTTTCTCTTCTGTTCTGATTATGTCTTTTCTGGACGAAGGTACAATCGATAAGTCGATCTAGGCTTTCTACAATTTGTGCAGTCTTTAAGATTTCTTTGGTTTTGACTCTATCTCCGTACTTTTCAACTTCAACTTGAGCTTGAGCAACTGAAGCTTGCCCTTCATTTTAGTTCTAAATGTAGGTTTCACGTGTAGGGGTATCAATTTTTTATTATTTTGATTTAAATAAATGTGGAATATTAAATAAAACTAGTTTACGGATTTTATCGCGTTTTTTATTTTGATTTGAACTCCCTACGTTTCGAACCCTTTCCAGCGTTCATGGTCACGGGACAGACTAAATTGTTATACGTCTTGATGTTATAGTTAACCCCGGCTACCGTCAATTATTTTGTTTATTTTTATTTTTATTCCGATCCACGCAGAAGGAGTTTATGGTATCCTGAGGTCTGGCAGTGTTGGTGTGCTTGGATTTAATTTTATGAATTATGGGATCCCAAGCAGATGATAAACTGCAACCATCTTCTCTATTGAAATTACGATGTTTCTTTATTTCAATAGCCTCGCGGATCATCCTTGGAAGGAATCGGTGTTCTTTTGCGAGGATTTTCGGTTGATCAAATCTAATGTAGTAGATGGATCAACCGAAAATCCTCGAAACTAGTTTTATTTAATATGTATAATATTCGACTAAAATCAGAATTTGTTGTTATAATAAGAAATCAGAATTGTATGTTTTAATAAGAAATAATTAGAGGTACAAGGAATGCCACACCACTTTTTTGGTAAATTTAAACTGCCAATATTTGTGTCCCCTTGGTCACATACTTTTGACGGTGGTAGAGCCACGAAGCAGCCTAGGCTGTTGCACGAATGGGCAGGGTCGTCAGGATAAGTACCACGACCTCACAGAAGATCGGTGTCAAGTGGAAGTATAATACTTTCGCGTTTTGAGTGAGGTAGCCGGAGCCCGATTTCCAAAAAAGTTGTCAACGCATCTGCAAACCCTCGGGTGTAGTTAGCAGATGTCCATGGGCAGCGGTATTCACTTAACTTTAGGTAAATCGTCTGCTCGTTTGGCAACTTTTCACAAAAATATAAAATAATCCGGTAATCACGGTAATTCCAACATCAGCAACAGTATTAATTATATCTTTAATAAGAACAGCCGGGCTTTGGGTGGATAATGTAGATAAAATATATACTATTGGTGTTCGATTCTGTTTTTGTAGTGGACTGTATTTTACAGGGCTGATAGATTGAACCTCCGGAGCCTATTCATGTACACACATTAGGTACCCAACACCGAATTCAAAACAACGCACCTTGATAATCGCTTCTTGAGGCACGTAGACAACAGCGGCAGCGGCGATCGTCCCGACATAAATATGAACAGTTCCAGCTTCCGATAACTCTTATTATTAGTCTATGCACCAATATTTAACACCAAACAAGGATAAATTTACACAATTATATTTTATATTTAACCGACCGAAAAGTTCGTGGCCGCCGATCACCGAGTCAGGAGCAGAAGGCCTCCCATTGGTCCACACATTTCGCTAGTGAACGCGTCACTTGCGTTCCGTTGAGTGCCACGACTTGGCGGCAATTTTAAATTAGGCGAGAGCACATAATGCGTGTACATACCCTCCCCCCCGAATAGAAATAAAGTCCTAACTACCCAATAATACCTAACTAAACTAACTAACTTTACCTAACAAGACTACCTATCAATATAGGGGCAGTCGGCATAACTTTGACACGGGCCGAAGCAACGTACTACTGCGTGTTTTTACTTCCGCTACACGGGTAACCGAATCCGAACCGGGTAAAAGTTTGACTATTCTACCGCGCTTCCACTGTAAAGATGGATAGTTATCTTCCTTAATCAAAACTAAATCATCAACCTTAAGGGATTCCGAATGAGAGGTCCATTTATGACGTTGTTGCAAAGTATGTAAGTATTCACCGCGCCATCTAGACCAGAAATGCTGTGTAAGCTTTTGTATTTGTTGAAAGCGAGATAAGCAACTAATATTTACATCTTCAAATGGATACTCAGGTATTGCCACTAGAGGTTGGCCGATAATGAAATGACCGGGAGTCAACACTTCCAAGTCGGCAGGGTCCGAGCTTAAAGGGCAAAGTGGTCGAGAATTCATGTCAGCTTCAACCTTAGCGAAAAAGGTACACAACTCCTCGAAAGTGAGTCGTTGCTCACCGAGTACCCGATACATATGCGTTTTTGCAGACTTAATAGCCGCTTCAAATAATCCACCCATATTAGGGCTACTTGGTGGGTTGAACAACCAAGTTATGTTACGTTTTATCAATTCCCTTTCCAAATCAGAACGATGATCTCTTAAATATATATAAATTTCCTTCAAATACTTATTGGTACCGACATAATTTGTTCTACAATCTGAACGCACTAAGGAAGGAAGTCCTCTCCTTGAGACGAACCTTGTAAAGGCCGCAACAAAGGCTTCTACCGATAATTCAGAAACAACCTCTAGATGAACCGCTTTAGTACTTAAACATACGAAAATACATAAGTAACATTTTAAAATCCGAGCATTTCTTAAAGAACTACTTTTAATCGAAAAAGGTCCGGCAAAATCTATTCCGACGTCTTCAAAGGCGCGATTACATCGAACCCGATCAGGTGGCAAGTCCGCCATGAAGGGTTGTTGTGACCGAGGTCTCGCCTTAAAACAATGTATACATTTAAATGTTACGCTACGCGTCAATCTACGTATGGAAAGAATCCAATAGTTACGAGATAAGATTGCTGACAAGGCATTTGCACCGACGTGACAATATGTTTTATGATAGAATTCAACAAGAAGTGTGGTGAAGTGATCCTTTCCCGGAAGTAATATAGGATGCCGTGCCGAATAAGGTAAGTCCGAATGCCGTATACGTCAGGGTCATCAATCTTCGTACATAAGTTAGGGTAATACTGCACTGCCAACTGTGTTAATTTTGGAGGTATAGAAATAATATGTATTTTAGTCAAATTATAGGTATTTTTGATATAGCAGTATTATAATAGGCTACTTCCGTAAAAGGCTATCAGATGGCGCTTTTAGCTATAAAATGGTGCAAAAAATGATAGTTACCTAAATAAGATACTTAAGACGGTACGTTAATGGTGTTCGTAAAATAGTCGCATAATTTTTGCAACCAAAAATTACATTACTACCATTTGGTAGATTTTTATGACTATGGACCTTCCTTGAATAAATCAGATTTAGGCAAAAAATTGACAAAAAGCTATTAAAAATTATCCAAAAATATGTTTTGTATATATTCTGAAAACTACCCTTATTTCTTTTAAGTATTTTTCCTTAGTTTTATAGTTTTTAAAGTTATTAAAGTTACATCGATTTATTTTTCTGGCAGGACTGGATAATATGTCAAAATTCAAATCAAATTCAAAACGTTCAAAAGGCGCGTGGACACGGATGTGTTATCACCATCAGGGTCAGGTCTTTTTGTACATTTTGTGCCATTCTTGCTGTGAATTCCATATAGTCAGTCAATTTCTATTCCGTTGAGTTGAGTAACCTTTGTACTCCTCCGGGTAGTCTGCTGATTGTATTGTGCGTGGAGTAAGTTTGAGACTCGGAAGTTTTGCTGTGAGATAGAGACTCGAAGTTTTTGTGTTTTTTATACGACTTCTATAACATGTCTATGTCAAGAAAAAAGTGTTGTGTTCCTGGGTGTATTGGATCAGAAAGTAAGATATAATTTAATACCACTAATAGACGTAAGACCGGCAAATAAACTCCATCCTTTGATTATAAACTTGACAAGTATAAAATAAAGACTCCATCTATAGTGCCGAATAGCTAGCATTAAATTTACAACTAGCATTTTATTTACAAGTTCAAATGTCGGAATTATACTTAAAATGACCACGTTTTTGCACGTGGTAATTTTAAGTATAATGTGTTTGCACCACGTGTTTGTACGTGGTCATTTAATCAATATGGTATTAATTGTATATTTATTGGAATACTTGAATATTTTGAGTCACTATTCACTATTATAAATATTATTTTAGCTTTTGACTACTCGGCCAGTTATTAATAATATTTTTTTTTCAGAATCACATCAGACAATGCATCTGTTTCCAAATCCAATTAAAGATAGAGAACGCTTTAGTCAGTGGGTTCTATCAATTGGTGGTAATATAATTGGTTTACAAAATGAGGACATATACAAACATCGCAGTGTATGCCATGTACACTTTGAAGAAAAGTATTGTTGCCGCAATAACAGATTAAGTAAAATTGCAGTGCCAACACTACATTTACCTGGTTAGTTAAAACAATTCATAAATTGTCATTAATCATGAAAAGAAAGTGATACATATTATAGTTTTTTTTTATTTAGCTTGCTAAAGTGTATGCTTTATCCATTTATGTAGACTCAAAGTATTAAGAAAAATGATATATAAGCAATAAGTGTTACTGTCTTCATCCTTGGTTTATTTTGCAGGACCTATTTCATTACCACAATTTACTTTTGGTGAAAGAAGGCCTTTGGGGCAAATAGAAAATTATTCATCTCCAATAAAAACATTAGCTGCAACATCTACCTTTGCTGCATCGTCATCTTCAGTGCTTTCCACCTGCCCCTCAGCATATAAAATAATGAAAGAAAATATAGGTAATGATGTTTTATGTTTACTCTGTACGGTAGTCACTTAATTAAACTGCCTTAATATATTTTGTGTAAATCTAATCACAGTCATAAATATTTCCTATTTTTAGAATTACTTTTCTGCTCATTCTATATATACCTATTCAATATTTTCACTGTTCAGTAAATAAAATATTTGATAACATAAATTATGAATGATTTAAAACAAATGGGTTTATGTAAAGCATAATTATTATTGTGTTAGTGTGCACTCAAAGTGATTCGTTTTAGATGTGAGTTAGTTCAGTAAATTATTTATACAACTCAAATTATCAGCACTGCCAGGATTCAAACATGGGCCTACCAGTAGGTACCTAACACATACAGTATAATCTGGAAGCCATCAATTTTGGTTAAAATGAAATGTAAAATTAAATGAATTTCTTTCCATTTTAAAATTAAATTTCGGCATTACTTGTAAAATGTCAAAAATTATGTTAAGATCACGTTCAATGTAATAAATTTTTGTTGTTTTGTTTAATGAATTTGTGTGTAATATAAGTTAATTTTAGAAGAGGAAATTTAAGAATTTATATTCCATTTACATATTCTAGATCCTGTAAAAAAGCAGCCACAATTGGACAAAAATGATCTTCAGCCTGAGAAGAAAGGTATTTTAGTCTGTTATCCTTAATGTAATCTATTATCTTAATAAGTAGATAAGGTTTATCTTATAAATACTATTTCAACAAAAAATCTTAATTAATTAAGTTACAGTCGTTTTGGGTAACTTTGAATTGTGGTGTAACTTTAAACAATGTTGTGAAAAAGATTTATTAATTTATTTTACAAAAACTATTTTTTATTTCAATAGCGTAACTGCGTAAAACGATCGGCAAAATGTTTTGAAATAACAAAAAGTAAAAAAAAAATAAACTTTTAATGCAATATCACATTTAAACGTTAATTTAGATGTAATACAAATAAAACCATGATAGGTTTTCATCATATAATTCCATGCTTTTTTTTTTATTCGAAAAGTTGCCAAACGAGCAGACGGGTCACCTGACGTTAAGTGAATACCGCCGCCCATGGACATTTGCTACACCCGAGGGTTACAAATGCGTTGACAACCTTTTGAAAATTGGGCTCCGGCTACCTCACTCACCAGACGAAACGCGAAAGTATTTGTCATACTTCCACTTTTTCATACTTTGTCATACTTTACGCTGGTCTTCTGTGAGGTCGTGGTACTTACGCGGACGGGCCTGCCCATTCGTGCAACAGCCGAGGCTGCTGCGTGGCCCTACCATGTTATTTGAAAATCTGAACTTTCAGCCCCCGCCTCCCCTAATTTTAGAGATAAGGTTTTATTTAATGAAAATACGTCATATAATCTTACCCAAACCTCAAAATATTTTCGAATAATGATTGTGATTGTTTTTACATCCTAAAAAAATATATTCAAAGTTACCCTAAACTCATGATAACTTTGAATTTGAGTTTGGGTGGAAATTGTGGATAGTTCTGTTTTTTTTCGTAAATTTATTGTGTCAGCAAAATAAATCAACTCAAAAGGACACTATTCATTTCAAAATAAAGGTGTAATAGATATAAATCAGATTGTAATAGCACAAATTCTGTAAAAAATGTTCAAAGTTACCCAAATTGACGTTACTATTAGACATTATAAATAAAGACAGGCTACTCATACTACAAATTTAACATACCTTAATCAAGAACAACCTATCATAATGTAAATTTATTTTACAAAAATAATATTGAAAAAAATTTAAAAAGGTTATTACAATTTAAAAAATTAATTTATTTCAGAATCCCTGAATGTTACTAAAGCAGTAAAGAAGCATATAATTTTAACTCCTGCGGAGCGAGTGCTATATAAAAAATTAATTCAAACAAGAGTTAAACTATCTAAATGCCGTAACAGAGTCAAAAGACAGTATACCAGTCTCAAGGCAATGCAAAGCATCACATCAAACCCAGCACTTTTGGCAACCATGGAAAAGTTGCCAAGTGCTGCAAAATTATTAACAATGATGCAATTTAGAGAAGTAAAAAAGAAAAGTAAAGGTCGACGATTCTCATTACAGGAAAAAATTTTAGCCTTATCAATTTTTAAACAAGCACCAAAGGGTTACAGGTTCTTAAGGAAAATTCTTGTCTTACCTGCACCGCAAACCTTGGCTAAATTAATAAGCCGTGCCAACATAAAACCAGGTGTCAACAATAAAATATTTGCACAGTTGAAAACTGTTACAGAAAAAATGAAAATAGAAGAAAGACTCTGCATTTTAATGTTTGATGAAATGTCTCTTAAAGCAAGTTTAGCTTTTAATGAACGAAAAGACAAAGTAGTTGGATTCGTCACGGATGGTCAGGAAACAAAGACAGAATTTGCTGACCATGTACAGGTGTACATGATTCGGGGCCTTATTAAAAATTATAAACAACCTGTATCATATACATTTTCAGCAGCAGCTACAAACGGGTATCAAATAGCAAAGCAAATTAAAGAAATAGTAAAAGAATTGCAGGAGGCAGGGCTAATTGTTGTTGCAACAGTTTGCGATCAAGGTGCAAACAACAGGCTTGCCATAAAGTTGTTGCTGCAAGAAACAAATGCTACATATTTACGACGAGGAGAGGAGCCTAGAGAGAATATAATTTTAATAAATAACAGTGAAGTGATTCCTCTCTACGATCCCCCACATTTACTAAAATGTATTCGCAATAATTTGCTGACAAAAAATCTTGAATATACTGCAAATCTAACTAAATGTACTGCCAAATGGCAGCACCTTCTTTTATTACATAAAGAAAATCCAGGGTATAAAGGTGTAAGGCTTATACCAAAACTTACAGAAACCCATGTCTTACCTGACAAAGTGTCTAAGAATAAGATGAAAGTTAAGTTTGCAACCCAAATATTTAGCAGAACTGTTGCAACAAATATGGGGTATCTTGCAGGTAATTGTTACTTTTTTTTCAAAATGTTATATATTATCGTTTTATGTACTGTTTTTCATTATTTCATACTATAGGACACTAATTGCCTGTTTTTACTCCAGTATAGTTTTAGTAAATTTTCTGTAGTTACTGTAATCATTCTTGCCCGATTGAGACTACTTATTTTTGTCCTCAATATTTTATTTGAATTCAAGTGAATTTTGTACAGAAATGAAGAGTAAATTTTAATATTTATTTTGATAATATAACAGTTACAGTACAGTAAAGTAACCCTATCTACAGAGGGTATTAGGGCATAGTATACCACGCGACCCCACCGCGGATTGGCGGACTTCGCATATCTTCGAAATGTTTTTTTTTGTTATTATTTCAAAAATATGCAGGATTCCTCACTATGTTTTCCTTCACTGCTGAGCATTTGATAAGTCAGCACTTAAAATAAAGAATTTCATTTGAGCCAGCACCAAGGATTGAACTCAGGTTGCTTGAGTATAATAAAATAAATATAAAATTTAAAAAATAAATGTAAAATTTAAAAAGAAAATGAGCTATCACATCTTGTTAGTACAGTAACAGCCTATAAATGTCCCACTGCTGGGCAAACTCTTCCTCTTTACAGAAGGTATTAGGGCATTCCCCCCCCCCCCCCCCCCCCCCCCCCCCCCCCCCCCCCCCCCCCCAAAGCTATTTGGGAATTGAGGAATGTTGGAACAAAAGCATTTGCAACACCTGAAGGGGGTTGCAGATGTCAGATGCCACCTATCAAACACCGACATATGCAGTCAGCCTGTCCATTATGTTGTGTTTAAGTCCATTTTGTTTTTTTTTTTCATTTCTCATCAAATACTGCCCACATAAATCTTACTTGGATATAAAAACAGTGTTACTGAGACATATAAACAATTAAACTTTGTTCATCCCTAAATTGGAATAAAAAATATGATTTATTGGTTTTTGTTCTGATGTTCCTCAATTATAATACCTTTTACCCGCATAAGCATAATTATGTATTGTGCATTTGGGTTTATGACATAACAGTACTTGACTGTTATGTCATAAACCCAACTTCACCCAAATTGAGAGTAATTCTTTGATTATTTCCATATTATTTAATTGCTTTATTTTCTATTTTCACAACTTTTTAACACCATCCATTTTCTTTTCAGACAAGGGTATTATTCCTAAAGAATGTAGTGAAACGGCTGACATGCTATTGTTTTTCGACAATTTATTTGATTCCCAAAATGGAAGTTATAATAAGAAAAATAAGAAATTTGCAAAGCCACTTCTAGGTCCTGTCACTATGTCTTCTGTGCATCACAAAGTATGGGTTGAGGCAAAACAAAAACTTAAAACTATGAAATTTGTAAATCCAATGTCCGGAAAAGCAGAAAATGTCTATACACTTGATAATTGGGCATGGACACTTGATGGAATTCAAGTTTTAATTAAAAAACTAAATAGGGACTTTAAAATTACATCTCTTTGGATGCGGCACCTTAACCAAGACCCCTTGGAAAACTTTTTCGGTGCTATTAGAAGTCATGGGTGCCGCAACACAAACCCTACGCCAGAAAATTTTGAAAGCGCATTTACGACATTACTTATCAATAATATCACAAGTGTCCATGCCCCTATTGGAGCTAACTGCGAAAATGATTTGTGTGAATATCTGCATGCCCTCATCGTCACTGACGACTGCAAAGCCACACCGACTGTTTGCAGCTTGGATAGCATCCCAAATATAGTTATTGAGGACATACAAACAAAAAAAGACCATCATATTATGGCTCCCTTACAGTATGTAACTGGATACTTCATAAAAAATTCAAAAAGAAAAATTTTTAAAAGCTGCACCACTTGTGCTGAAGACCTTATTAGCAATGAAGCTATTGAATACATTAAATATAGAGAATATTCAGATCGTCAGTGGCTTTGCAGTCCAACTGATGCTATAATAAATTTTATATCAGCAGTGCAAGATGTCACATATTCCATCATAAAAGGATATCTAGATAAAAACAATATAAAAGAATTAATAAAAACATATATTGTAATGTTAATTGATTTTGATTTTTTAAATTGTGAAGAACATAAAAAAGATTTAGTTAATTATCTTATAAATTTAACTTCAAGATTTTTCTTATACAATTATTGTAAAGATATTAATAAAATATTAAATGGGCGAAGAGACTGTAATGACGATGAGGATATGCTTCAAATAAAAGCAAAAAAATATTATAAAAAATGTTTTAAAAGACCAATAAAATAAAAAAATTAAATACTTGTTTTTATTTTAGATTTACTAATGAATCATTAATTGCTAACTTATTAATTCCGTATAATGTGTATACGTTAAATAAATAAAATATAAAAAATTGTTAGCAATTAGTAATTCATAAACCTTTATCCCCAAAATATTTATAATGCATAAGCAGTGTATGGAGACAGTATATATATATATATATTTATATAGATTACTGATATTAGGTCCGTAAAAGCAATCCAGATGGCGCTTGAAAGCAGTTTCCCATTTTACCTACTGAGAGAGGTCTCTATTTACATATATTACAATGTACTCTGTGGTATACGTCCACCAACGCGAATTATTCCGTCGCTGTCTAAAAACAAGTTAAGTTTTCGTGCCGAATCACGAATATGTTTACCCGAATTTAAATCTGAAATATATTCACCGAAATACCGTACTGCTTCTTATAATAACTTCTGTACCGACCGAATTAAGTTAACGCCGTGCGACGTTCCGAAATAGAAATATTTAAAGACCGATAACCGAAAACTGAATTATTATTACCGCAGTCTAATTTTCGCCGAAAATTATTTATAAACCGAATAACAAAACCGACAACATTAATAAGTGTTCCAAACGAACTAAACCGACCGATAATGTCCGTAAGATTGTTAGAAACCGAAACCGTAACGTTGGTCACGAATTTTGACCGTAATCCAGGCAAAACCGTAGGCATTTCTATGCTTTCTTTAGGCCATAACTCCCGCGATTGGGTAAGCCATTGTGGTCTCCACCATAGTGAGTGTTCTAGAAGCTGAGCAGCCGAACAACCTCGTGATGCAACATCAACACAATTGAGAGTACCAGGAACGTGTCTCCATAGTACAGGTATATTCAAATCATTTATCTGTGACACTCGATTACCTTGAAAAACTTCTAACTTGTGAGGTGGTGTTTTTAACCATGCGTGCGCAATAGTGCTATCGCACCAACCGACGATTTCTGAAATAATAACCGAAATGTCACTAAAAGCCGAATAAACATGCTGTAACAGTTTCGCTAGAAATACAGCACCATTAAGTTCTAGCTGAGGTATGGTCAATTTACTTTTCAAAGGTGCTACCCGAGATTTAGCCATCACTAGCCGAACCGAAGCTTTACCGTGAGTGTTTTCAGAACGCAGCATAGCCTGAAGAAGAACCATCACAGAAGCCGTGAAGAGAAAATGACACATCATCGTCAGATTTCAGACACCGAGGGATACTAATCTTGTGAATATTAGCTAAATCCAAAATAAATTCATTCCACTTTTGCACCAGTTCTTCAGGAGCTGGCGTATCCCAGTCTACCTTTTTAGCACCATCGCTTAGTAGCTCTTGTAGTAATAATTTCGCCCGAAATACAATGGGGCATATCCAGCCTAGGGGATTGAAAAGTTTCGCTAAAGACGAAAGAATACTACGGCGTGTGACAGTTGCCGTTTCCGGAGATAAGTTCCGAGTCCGATAGGAGAAGGTATCCGTTGAAGGGTTCCATTCGATACCCAATACCTTTGTGGGTTAGTAGGATGGAACTGTAAGATATACTAACTCCACATTGAATATATATATTGTAAAATTACAATTTGGAATTTACAGCTAGGAACATAGACGTTATAGCAATCGCGCGGCGGACGGCAGACTCCTCTGAAGTCACGTACGCAAAATCACTGACGTCCAGCGAAAACCCGAGATCGGTCGACGATGCACGAAGGCGCCCGAGAGTATTCAAAATAACGGCTCGCCGTGTGACGGCGATTAGCTGTGATGTCAGTTGTAGACAGGCCGCCACACCAGCCCCCCTCCAGACCTTAAGGTCGATAAAAATCAGTAAACATTACCGTTCGGCCGGATCTTGTTTTAAGAGGAAGTTTTTGATAATCTGTTGTTAAGATTGCCTCTTGCATTATATGGGCTGGTTTAACGCGATCAATGGAAACGGATATTTGCTTGCCATTTATCTCCAATTTAAGGACTTTGTCGCCTCTATCAATTATTTTATATGGCCCTGTGTAAGGAGACTGAAGTGGCTTTTTAACACAGTCTTTCCTTAAGAAAACATGTGTCGCGGTTGACAAGTCCTTGTGCACAAAAACTTTCGGTGTTCCATGTCGGGTAACAGGTGATGGTTGGATGGTGCGCGCATATGACTTTGAAGTCTTTGAACGAAGTCTGAGTAGTCCGGCACAGCATCTTGCGTTGAAGATTGAAAGAAATCTCCAGGCAAACGCAAAGGTTCTCCGTAGACTAACTCGGCCGTCGAAGCAGACAGGTCCTCTTTCCTCGCGGTTCGAATTCCTAATATAACCAAAGGAAGCACCTCTATCCAGTTGTCATTAGCGTGACACATGATTGCGGCCTTTAATTGTCTGTGGAACCTTTCCACGAGGCCGTTTGCAGCTGGATGCTAGGCCGTAGTATGTACTAGGCGCGTACCTGTCATTTGCGACAGTCGTCGAAAAATGTCCGAAACAAATTGCCGTCCTTGGTCGGTCGTTAGTTTGTCCGGACAACCAAATCTAGAAATCCATCCAGAAATAAATTCTCTGCTCACGGTTTCTGCTTTTATGTCCGTGATGGGTATGACTTCTGGCCATCTAGTGAAACGATCCACGGCTGTTAAGCAGTATTGATATCCGTGAGAAGACGGGAGCGGGCCAATTAAATCGACATGTACCTGAGAGAAACTTGAGTAGGAAGTATAAAGTCTTGCACATGTGACTTTATGTGTCTGCTAACTTTAGCACGCTGACAATGCAGGCACGACTTTGTCCATTCACGGCAGTTTCTACGTACGTCGGGCCAAACGTAACGTTGAGTAAGAAGCTTTGTAGTCGCTTTGGCCCCTGGATGGCTTAATCCGTGAATTATGTCGAAGATCTGTCAACGGAACTCAGGAGTTATATATGGACGGGGGAGTAGAGTAGAGTAGATACGTCACAATAAATAGCCTGTGTACAGCCGGGTATAGTAATCTTTTTAAGGTCTAAAGATGTACCTTTTTGCAGACATGCTTGCAGTTCACCGTCAGTACTTTGTGAGGCTGCCAGTGCGCTGTAATCGAGAGCACTGATTGATTCACAGGGTCGTGATAATGTGTCCGCTACTAAGTTGTCGTTTCCAGTAATATGTCGCACATCTGTGGAGAACTGACTTAAAAAGTCTAAGTATCGGAATTGACGCGGTGAACATTTGTCAAGCGATTTTTTAAAGGCGAAAGTGATAGGTTTGTGGTCTGTATAAATTATGAAAGGCCTTAGCTCTAACATGTATCTAAAATACCTAACACCTTCGTAGATAGCTAATAACTCCCGATCATAGGGACTATATTTGCGTTGCGCTGTACTAAGCTTTTTAAAAAAGTAGCCAAGAGGTTGCCATGCGCCGTTAACACGTTGTTGGATAACTGACCCAATCGCAACGTTCGAGGCATCCGAGAAAATTGCGAGTTCGGACTTCGGACATGGATGTGCAAGAAGTGCAGCTTTAGCGAGGCTATTTTTGCATTCCAGAAAAGCTTCTGAAAGTTCAGCAGTCCATGTAATATTAGCTTTGCTTTTTGTTTTAGGCCCAGAAAGTAAGCAATTAAGCGAGCTTTGTATTTGAGCAGCATGCGGTATGAAACGGCGGTAAAAGTTGAGCATACCAAGAAAACGACGAAGCTCTTTTATCGTGGTTGGCTGCGGAAAGTCTTGTATAGCTCTTACTTTTTCTGGGAGTGGCTTTGTACCTTCTGCCGAGATTGTGTAGCCCAAGAACGTCACCTCAGGTTTTCCGAAGACGCATTTGGCTGAGTTGACGAGTACGCCGTGCTTCTGGAGACACTCGAAGATTAAGCGTAAATGATGCTCATGTTCCTCAGCGTTCTTCGAAGCGATTAGAATGTCGTCCAGATATGGAAAGCAGAAAGGAAAATCTGATAAAATTTCATCCATAAATCTTTGTAGTGTTTGTGCAGCGTTGCACAATCCAAAGCTCATATAAACGAATTCAAATAATCCGAAGGGTGTCGCTATGGCTGTCTTTGGTATATCCTTAGGAGCAACAGGAATCTGGTTATATGCGCGGACTAAATCAATGGTGGAGAATATTTTACAATTGTGTAAAATGTGGGAAAAGTCACCAATATTTCTAACCGGGTACTTGTCCGGGATAGTTCGGGCGTTCAAGGCGCGGTAATCACCACATGGTCTCCAACCGTTGTTTTTCTTCGGCACCATGTGCAACGGGGATGACCAAGAGCTTTTTGAACGACGCGCAATACCTGAACGAACCATGTCTTCGAACTCCAGTTGTGCTATTTTAAGCCGGTCAGGATCAAGTCGACGAGGTCTACAGGTCACAGGTGGGCCAGGGGTCGTATGGATATAGTGAAGCGTGTTGTGCTTCACCTCGCGCTCCATAGGGGCCCCAATAGGTCTAGTGATGCCTGGAAACTGCTGCAGCAACCGGTGAAAACGAGTAGAGCCTGCAACAGCTTTTATACAAAACATAGCACAAGTAGCAGGAGAAGCATTAATAGTAAGCTGAGTAATACTATCTATGAGGCGGTGATTCTTAGCATCCACTAGCAAACCATAAAAAGATAAAAAGTCAATGCCTATTATAGGTTTGGTAACGTCAGCAACCACAAAACGCCAGTTGAAACTTCGACGTAAATTAAAATTGAGTCGATAAACTAGTCCATCCATATGTTGCTATACTACTACCATTGGCTGCACAAAGTTCATAGTCATTCTAATGCCGCTTCTCATTACGCAAGTACTTTAAAGGGTACACACACAAATCGGAACCTGTGTCCACTAGAAATTGCACCTTACTCGTTTGGTCTGTTATAAATAAGCGGCTTTTCGTAGGAAAACAGTCACTTGCCGCTACGAGCGACTGTCCTATTCGTTTTTTAAGTAATTGCACGACTGGATACATTTCTTCGCATTTCCTCGAAATCTGTGGTGGTACCAACACACACCACTAGCACGAGGTTTTTGTCGGGAACGGGATCGGTGTAGCTGACAGGATCTAGATCTAGCTCTGGAGTGATTTCGTTGACTAGACATTGAGATTGCGTCTAATCTTTGCGTGAGCATGTCGATCTTCTTATATAGCTCTTCTAATGGCGTTGAAACACGAAACAAAGCGGGGTTGCTCGCCGTATGTAGACCGGTGGAATGTTCGTTGCTGCGAGACATTGTTCAAAATGGCCGTTGAAAGTTATCGTCAAGGAATTAAGTTAAAATAAACAAACGTTACAGATTTTATAGTTCTCGGGGTCACCACTTGTGGGTTAGTAGGATGGAACTGTAAGATATACTAACTCCACATTGAATATATATATATTGTAAAATTACAATTTGGAATTTACAGCTAGGAACATGGAAGTTATAGCAATCGCGCGGCGGCCGGCAGACTCCTCCAGGGACGTTAATCTTAGAACAAACTGGCAGGTCGCTGGAGAATAAAAGGATATGAATTTTAAACGATATGTTATTCTCTATCATCATTGTTCAAATCAACCCTTTTTAATTTAGTAGTATAGTACTGATGATTTTAGAACTGGGAAATAGAGATGGAGCTAAAATCGCTATTAAATTACTAAAATCAAAAGTCCCGAAGTACTAAACTTCAAGTGTCATATTGTAACTTTAATTTATACTCATTATAGCCATCTAAATTGAGCCAGTTTATTTGATGATTTCCAAAATGGTAGTTTTAAAATAAAGGCTATTGGCAATGGATTTATTTTATTTTGTAGCATTATCATTTCGTATACAGTGCTATTGTAGTATTACTTATTTTAAGAGGTATAATACATATAACTTTCCTGTAATAATTACTTTAAAATAATTTAAAAGAAATTCTACCAAAAAACTTGGTAGTTATCTTACTGTTGAGCCTGCTTGATTGAAATTTCAAATTAAAAATATAACTGTCGTGGTCGCCGAATTCGCCGTACCTCGCCTCGTAGTCCTTTCCTTATTTTATTTTCCTTCTTTTTGCATTGTTCTAGTGCTCCTCGCCCTATTACTCAGTGTCTGTGGATTTATTTTCCTTCATCCCACAGGTACGTGCTGTTGAGTTGAGATCCCTCCTCCGGTACGTGCTTTAGTGTAATCCTTTTGTTTTGTTCCCGAACGTTTTTTGTGTTGGAGAAATTGACTCGTTGTTTGTGAGAAATTGACTTGTTTGTGAGATAGGACTCTTTTTGTGAGATAGGACTCTTACTTGTGAGACACGACTTTGATTACAATATGGCTTCAGATAAAAAATGTTGTGTACCTGGATGCCTGGAAACCGGTGGTAAGTAAATACAGCATTATATCTGCTACTTGGCACTTACGATGGACTTGAGTCTGGAAAAACAATCGTTAAAAGTAAATATAACCATTGTCTCTTTCTATTTTATTGCTTTAGAATGTAATTATGTAAATCTTCAGCCGAAAGGTGAAACAATATTGTTCTATACAACTCATAGTGTTTAACCTATAAAACTGAAAAAAATAATTTCTCGAAAACTACATTTCCGCAGAAAGTCGTACGGGGTGTTACTTCAATGGCCTTACTACTTACTTATTAAAATTATAAAGAAAATCTTACAAGTATTTACTGAGATATCTTGAAACAACTCATCTTTTGTTTCAGAAACACTTCATGCTTTCCCAAACCCATTAAAGGATCTTGAGCGCTTTAAAGCCTGGTATACCTTTATTTGTTGACCAAATTTGCTTGGCTTAACAAATGATCATATTTACAAGTATCGAC